CATGCTGCTCAAGATGCAAAAGTCTGTAGTTTCTTCCCTATATATTGTCTTCTACAAAGAAGAATTAGATAATGAGAAAGAAGAAAGGGAGAGTAAGAGGAAAATGGAGGGAGAGGGAAAAGCATGGAGAGAGAGGGAGGGAAGGAGACAGAGAGAGAAAGAGAGAGAGACAGAGAGAGAGGGAGAGACAGAGAGAGAGAGAGACAGACAGACAGACAGACTCTTACAAATTTTACATGCAAGAAAATGATGCCCTGAACTGGTTGAACCCCAGAAACAGCTGACCTGACAAGGGTTAGCTTTTGAATCCCAGACTGATGGCTGGGAATCCAGCATGGGACTGATCAAGACCCCTTGAATGTGGGTGTCAGTGAGGAGGCCTAGGTAATCTATTGGGCCTTGGGTAGTAGATCAGTATTTATCCCAGGTATACAAATGGACTTTGGGCACCCATCCAACAATGAGAGATGCACTCTCACCCTGGAATCTTGGGGGAGGGTCTAAGCCCTGTGATGGATGAAATGACAGACTACGAACACCCCCATGGAGGACCTTACTCTCCCTGGGGAAATGAGGGGATATTGGGGGGGTTGGTGGGAAGGTGTGGGTGGAGGGGAGGGAAAGGAGGAGAGGGAACTGGGATTGACATGTGAAGCAACCTTGTTTCTAATTTAAATTTAAATTTAAAAATAAAAATTAAAAAAGAAAATGCCCAGAAATCTGCCTCTTGAGCCACAGAATGTTGAATATGGTTTTAGATGAATTACTTTATGTCCCTGTGACACAATTTGACCATCTGTAAAATACAATAAATTAGCTCACTCTGGCTCCTTACATAATTCTTTGAAATGTTGAGAACCTCAGGCAGAAGCTGTGAGGATGATATTGACTGGGAAAATCTGAGGACAGCCACTCAGCTGCATAATAAGGTCCTTTCTAACCATAGACATAACCCAGGCAGGCCTATGTGTGAGCTAGGGCAACCTCTCTGCATAGAAATACTTCAATGAGAAAAATTAGAATGTTACTGTTGTCAAAGTAAAGGGACAACTCATCAAACATAAGTAGGTTAAATTGTATCCATATGGAAGAGAGAGAAACATAATGTTGTTCATACAAAGCCTACCACTGTAGGTCAGAAGTCCTGGGTGTCAGTCCAGTTTGCAACATCCTAGTCATATTATCTGGTCAAGTTCTATCATTTCACTTTCCATTCAATCTTGTAAGTCTAATAGACTGACACATAGTAGGTGATAAATACAATGGAGATTGATGGTTGAGAAGATTAAACCAGGCAATACATGTACATATTTTTGTGATACTTGAGTCACCATGTGAATACACGACTGATGGTTTTACTATGTGAATGGATGACTGAAACTTCAACCATTAATGTTCTATAACTCACTAAAAATCCTTGAAGATAGTTAGCTCAACATGACCTTTAGGGCAGAGGCTAGACATTGACCTTGGGTTGAACATTGCTTCTCTTGGACAGAGTTTACCAGCAACAGAATGTACACCATGAAATCATTTTATGTATAGGAGCTTATGTACCTACATTCATGAAGATGCAATGTTTGGCTACCAGTGGGGTGGTTGGTAATTCTAGTGCAACTTTACATGAAACACTAAAAAAAATCTTTGTTGTTGCCTGTTTCATTTTAAATTTTTTAACCAACCAATTCATCTGAGCCAAAAGGAAGGCAAGAATTTTCCACCTTGCTGCTTAACTGGCAGTCTGACATTTGGCCCTTTGCACCTCTCCAAAGTTTGGCCACAATGACTAGCCTTATTCACGCCAGGCAGCATTAGCGCTTTGTTAACTCTAAACGGTGGCGCACAGCATAAAGTCTCTCTGTGGTTACCATGTGACTTCATGCAGCTGACATCTGAGCAAAAAATTGCCAGAGAAGGTCTGGGCAGTTTTTTATGAGCAAATGAGTGAGGGGAACAAGAAGAGCCTGACTTCCTGTGGTTTAGGGAGAGATTAGTGAGTTGCTATGGATGCCCTCTCAGTAGACTATGCAAGGACAATGGGGCTTATAGACCAGCTTAAATATCAGTAGAATAAGTATGGAAGGGGGTGTGTTGTTGATGGATGAGGAGAGCAAGTTTTCAAAATAAGGGAACCACATTTCAACAGCTCTACCTGTCTGTCCCCCAGTCTTAATTTCCACAGCTCTCTAAAATCTTTCATAGTCTAACAAACAAGAGCCATGTCAAGATGTGCTTTAAAAATAGCTGAATTGCATGACTCTGGGAGAATTTGCCTAGGGCAAATAGCTGTTCTTCTTCGTGCCTTACACACTGTTCCTCTTAAGACAATCTCTGGGTATCTGAGACTTTTGCACCTGCTATCCACAAACCAGGAAAGAAAGCCAAATGCTCTCTGCAATTTTGGAATTTCATGTGCAACTGAGTGAATAATGCTGATAATTTGTATTCTCTACAAAGAAAAAAATACCCAACTAGTTCAGAGAAACAGTTTATTATGTCCAGATTTCTCCATGGAATTTTCCAGAACTCCACAGGAGTTACCACAGGCTGTTCACATGCCTCTTGTGTTCTACATTCTGTCTAGTGAAACCTATTTCATGCTGGACAGTACTGTCTCTGAGTAGAGCCCAGGGGCATGCTGCTGCTTTGACTCTGAGTTTAAGAACAACAATGACAAAATTCTGAAAACTATGCTTCTTCAAAACAGCAGACACTGATGAAATTGGGAAAGGGTGACTCTTTCCTTGGGAATCTCTCTTGTGTTGCTGGTTTCATGCCCCATAAAAGGGATGAGAATCTTGACAATGTTTCCCTCCATCTTTTTAAATAAGCTTTCTAAATTCCTCATTGACACAAAGACCACATCACAACTATGAACAGGCTAGAATGTGTAATGCCTCATTGTGGAGGGCTATCTTGTCCATTGCAGGCTGCTTAACAGCATCTCATTTCTACTACTCTGAGCTACTTACCACTGCTCACTTTATACCACTTACTGTCACAACTGCAAAACTTCCTGGACTGCGCTAGATTGTCTTCTGGAGGGCACCACCACTCCACCTCAATAACTAAAAGGATTTTACTAACAGTCTGTTCTCAGGAACTCAGGTAACTAGCTATTCAGTCTATCTTATTAAGATAGAATTTCAGATGTGTATCTGCTTAATGACCTTGGAGAGTCTTGAATCCACTTAACAAAAAATAGCACCTTCCTTGGAAGCAATACAGTCATCAACTGGCTTATCAGACTTATGTAGAGGAATCTATCACAATCCCAATTCCCAAGACCTTGGCCCAAATCAGTAGCAGTATCAGGTGTAAAACCTCCTATTCATTGGAATTCTGGGCCAGTACACTCTCCTGGGGTGAAAGAACAATTGTCTGAGAGTCAGAAACGTTATACTTCATTCCTCATATGATGAATTTTCAAGGTCAAAATATATAACTATAACTCTGGCACCTTAGGAATCAGTATCTATATGCATAAGCTCATACAGTTTGCAGTCCTAATCCAAAAGTGATGTCATGAGCCAAGGTACATATTCAACACCTCGCTTCCTGCAGTAGGATTTACACTTTCTTGGAGAATGTGGAGTTGGCAAAGAATACCGAAATGGAGCAACAGAGACCCAGGGCAGGCACAAACTCTTCTTTAAGAGTAAAACCCCATTCCTGTGTGGTTTGCCATCAGCCAAAATGTGAATGCTTCAGCACTTTTTGTGTAGTGTAAAACCATTTAACACAGTATGAGTGAGGGATCCTTTAAATAGAATGAGAGAAAATGACTATTGCAGCAAAGAAGGTGCTTAATGAGCTTCAGCCCACAGCAGAGCAGGAATCTGGTAAACTCAGATTGCAGAAGGAAACTCAGTACTAAGTCTAGTGATTGGCTTGGATGACCCAATATTAGCAAATAGGAGACATAAGCATAGATTCCTGACTGGGGAATTCTTTAAAAACTCAGAAAAAAGATTCCATTTTCTTTTCTTCTCTATGGAAAAAGGGAAGAATATACTCAAAACTAAATTAAGGGAAATCAAATTTGTATAGGCTGACAATTATGTGTATTATTTTGCTGTGTCAAATTTGTGATATATTCACTTATCGGGACTAAATTCTCAAATCTGTTAAATTTGCATTGTAAGTTTATTTGCAATCATACTAATCCCCCACTGCTCTTGCAGAAATTAAAATTAAGTCTTCAGAAGTTATTAAGTTCCACCAAAGATTTACCTTTTTTTTTTTTTTTTTTTTTTGGTTTTTCGAGACAGGGTTTCTTTGTATTGTTTTAGAGGCTGTCGGTCCAGCCTGGCCTCGAAACTCACAGAGATCCGCCTGCCTCTGCCTCCCGAGTGCTGGGATTAAAGGCGTGTGCCACCACCGCCCGGCAAAGATTTACCTTCTTACACTCAGCCTCAGGAACAAATTTCATTTCATTAATATCTGCAAAGACTTCATTTTTACTTCAGTTTAAGAACAGCTCAAGACATCCCCCAAAAAATCTTTAACATAAACGACAAAAACCAAGGCATTCTGTTTCTGGGGCAATGTGATCTTCCCACTCACCAAAATTAAAAAACAGAAAAAAAAATGCCATAGTAGAGTATGTCTTTTGCAAATGTATGACTCTGGGACTAGTGTCTATGTAACTGGGTTGAAGGAAACACAGTCTTTCTTGGTCATGTGAGCTAGGCATAAATCCTGCAGAGTGGAATTATATAAAACCATGAGTCTAAATCTTAACCATCCTTATTGTAGAGTACATCATGGGAGATATAACATTACCTGCTGGTGTTGAACTTGGGCAACAGATCAGTACCCATCCCAAGTATACATACAAAAGCGTTATATCTGAGAGGAATATTCGGCAGTACTGCACAAAGTCCTGCACTTACCCAGCACATGATAGTGCAATTTCTATCCCTTCTCTCTCCAATCAGTACCTTCACAGAGAAAAATGAACACAAATCAGAAAAACTTTTTTCATATTTAAATTAGTAGTGCTAACTTTGGCAGCACATGTACTAAAATTGGAACAATACAGAGAATATTAGCATAGCTACTGTACAAAGATGACACAAAAATCTGTGTCATTTCATAATTTAGAAATCTATTTAAATTACCCAAATATTAAATTTTCATTTTAAAATATAATGCCTGGACTGGATTCTTGACTGTGTCATGAATGATATAATTCAATGTTGACTGTTACTGGCAAAGTCTTACTGAATGAGATCTTTTAAAACTTCAGAATATGCCCAAAACATAATCTCCATTCTCCTCCTATGATATGTAATTAATATGGTTTTCAATCAAGAATCTCCTTCTACTTTTCAACTTCTTGGAAGAATTTGTGTCAAGAGTGGAGGTAGCCATAACAGTAAGTATCCAGTTTTAGTCATCTTCAAAATAATGATGGTTCTCTTCTACCCTTCACCACCACATTAGGGATGTGTCTGTCATAATGCTCACTAAGCTTTCTGGGATCGTACCTGTGTATATCAGCCTTCTGTTTTGATCTATAACTCATTCCATGGTAGCATTCTGTCATCTATCTATCTATCTATCCATCTATCTTCTATCAAGTAACACATATCATAAACATTTCTATCTACCTATGGACAGTAAGTGAATAACTTCAAAATGTCATCAAAATACTAAGTGCCCTGGAGAAGCAAGTACTGGATGCTGGGTACCTTGGTTTCAGCAACCTGTGAAACACAAGTCTTTGAACTCATTGTTAATCTGTTCTGTAAAGATTAAGGAACATGGCAGATGAATTACAGTGTTCCTATTTGAAAGAACTTGTAAAGATAATTCTATATCTACTATGCTTTTGGTTTGTGTTTCTCATGAAGACACTGTGCATTCTATACTCAGCCAGCTTTTCTTCTTCATTGGCTCTTAGCATGTGTGGAACTTAATAACTCATCCATCTCTAGAAATGCCTCAGACTTAATATTTATACCTTTTATGTTAGATTCTTTCCTACCCAAACTGATCTCTAAGCTCTTACATTTCTTCTGCTAGATTTTATTGTTTTTTCTAATAGATATCATCTTGCTATTTGATCATATAAGTTGACACAAATGTGATTGACATAGAGCAGTAAAATAATAGAAAAATTGTAAGAAAACACGAACAACAACCAAAATATTTTGTAATCGTTGTGGCAGTGGCCACTGACCATGAACAACCCATTAACAACAAAATGTCAGACTGGACCATACAAGCTAAATGGTATCCTGTCTTAAAATAAGTGTAACAGTAAAAGTTAGATTAAGAATCTTTGCAAAAGACTTGAAATTAGAAGACCTGGGAAAGTGAAATTACAGAGAACAAAAGTACAGAACCAAAGTCAATTGAACTGAGTTGACAATCTTGACTCTTTCTTCCATGAACTTTCTGATTTTGGTTTTCTCATGTGTAAGAAATAAAATGATGCCTGCTAGCCTCACAAAGCTGGTATAGAAGACTGATGAGTTTTCTGGTACGGTACTGATGGAGAAAGTCACACCCTGGTCATTATTTGCTCCTTTCAGTGAAATTTCTCAATGAGTCACACAATTTCTTTCAGTTATGCTCATGACAAGGGAAATACAGCCATTACATAAATATACCTTGGACTTTTTGGATGATCTCACAGATTGCTACTGAAATTGGTGAGTTCCTCCTCCTTGGAGCTGAATGGATGCAGCAGCCATCTGCCAGCAGCTACCTCCCTGTGCACAGAAGGCTACTCTGTATATGAGCCTTGGGATTGAGCCACATGGCTACAGGAACAGCCAGGGAGGAGGAAAGGGTGGAGTGAGGCCAAAATCCAAGCCAGGCATTGCAGCTTCAATCCTTCACTAGTCGGTGAGGTCATTTTCCATATAGTCTCTGTTTCCACTAGAGTCAATGTTTCTTAAAACTTGAGCATAACCCGACCCATCGGTTGAGGCCTCCGGGTCAGTAAAATAGTGTTTCCCATTCTGGCATTGTTGGCTTGAACTGGAATTCTTGTCAGTCTAAGAATAGATACTGTGTCCAAGATTACCGTTTGCCCTCCATATTTATGAGTTTCTTGTGCACAGAAAGGACAACCCCTGGTTCCAGAGAAGCTATCCCATAAAACCTGAGATGCAGAAGGCATACATGTTGAGAATTTGCTTTGGTAGGATCCCAGCACTACCATGGACACACTGCATGACTCTGCTTACATATTCTGTGGGAATAAGTCAAGAATCTACATTACAATTGTAGCAAAGTCTTAACAAGACCATTCACATGAAACATTGAGAGAAGATGTTGCTCACAGAAGCAGTCTATGTGTAAATTATAATTATTCTCCATGCTTGTACTTGAAATTGCTCACATATAAAAGAACTTAAACTCACTGACATTGTGAAGCTACTGGTGACTGTTCAGGGACATTTTCTCCCTTCTTTAATGTTTTTGTCATAACTATTCTTAACATTTGAATTTTTCACCTCTGATTTACCATTCTGTTCCTGCTGCCTGAATGACTCCAAAATTTTGCTTCTTATTTGACCTTGCAAGGTTCTAGCTAAGGCCATACATCCATACTTTTCTTGTACATATGTCACAGGCAAACTAAGTTTCAATTTCTTTGTTGCTTCCTTCATGAAAATCAGCTTGTTTTTGCCAGACCATGATCTCCTTGAGAACATCACTGAGTCTCTCCACTTCTTTATCTCACCCACCACAACCAAAGATCTGGTGCTCAGCAAATGTGAAACAAAGTCATAAAATATTTACTGGAGCCCAGTTTTCCATTCACAGGCTTATAAGACACCTGCTGATTTCATGTTTTCACAGCTATATGGAAAAATAGCTGATATTCCCCACACTCTTCTCCACATTTAATTCCTTTCCTAAAAATTTAGCTCCATTTTATTTGCAATTTGCAAATAATGGTGGAATATATTTATGAGGCACAAAGTAACAGTTTGGCATATGCATATCCCTTACCAAAACATAGTGAATAGCATCTATGTCACCGCAGACATGTATTATTTCCATGTGGTAAGCGCATTTAAAGACTCTTTTGGCTGTTGAGAAATCTCTAGCCCATTGTTAATGTCACTGCCATAAAACACTGGGATGAATTCTGCATATCCAACTACATCCCTACAACCATTGGAAATACCCCTTTCTACCAAATCATCACTCTCAAATCTAGTGATTTTACCACTTTACTTGCTATTTCGAGGAGCCCATCTACCTTGGATTCTACATATAAGCAAAACCATTTGGTACTTCTTCCTTGCAATTGGCTCATTTTGTGTAACATGATGTCCATTGGTTTATCCAGGTTGTCATACATGATGGGATTTCCCATTTGCTCCTTTGTGCTTACTTTTTTTACAATAATATACCACTGGCTACATATACCACCATTTAAATATATTCACCCATTCTTATACACTTCAGTTATTTGTGAGTACTGCTACTTTATACATAGAAAGACCAACCTCCTTCTGGCATACTTGTTATAATTTCTTTGAATATGTCCTCAGTGATGAGATTGCTGGAGTGCACTGCAGTCCTATTGTGAGGAACCATCATATTGCTTTCCACATTAACTCCACTATGTAAAAGAATCAACAGGGTACTTTTTCTTGTTATCGTCATCAAAATTCATTATCTTTCACTCTTTTGATAGCCAGTCCATTCAATATAGGGGAATATTTCAGTGGTCTCAATTGTATTCATCTGCTCATTATAGATGTGTCATTTTTAATGTATGTCTATTGTCCACATTGGTTAAATTTGTACCCTCTTTTAAAAGAACTGGCTATTCTCATCCTTTGTCATCTTTACTTGGAATATTCACTTTCATACCATTGAGCAGTTTGAGCACTTTGTGTCTTTTGGATAGTGAACAGATAGTCGCAATGATTCTGATAAAAAAATATGGAGGTAAAACAATACTGGCCTTCAAAATACATTACAAAGCTGAGATAATCAAAACATGTTGGTTCTTGCACACCAACAAAAAGGGTCATCAACCAATGCACTAGAAGAGCCTAGGGAAAAAAAACCCACACACCTATAGTCACTTAAATTTTAACAAAGGGGCAAATATAGCCCAGACTTTGAGGAAAGAACATTCTATTCAACAAATAGTCCTATAACAGGTTGGATATACATTCAGAGAAGAGTGAAAATTGGCCTTACCCATCTCTTAAAAAGCAACTCAAAATGGATTAAAAACGTAGACATACAGACTTACACTAGGAATTAGAACACAAAAGGGGGTAGAAATTCACTGATTTTTTTCTATTTGTTTGTTTTTTTTTGTTGTTTTGTTTTGTTTTGTTTTACGAGACAGGGTTTCTCTGTATTGTTTTGGAGGCTGTCAGTCCAGCCTGGCCTCGAACTCACAGAGATCCGCCTGCCTCTGCCTCCCGAGTACTGGGATAAATGGCATGTGCCACCACAGCGCGGCTAAATTCACTGATTTTAAAAGAGATTTGGATATCACATGAAAGCTTAAATAACAACAACCAAAAAAAAAACCAGGTAAATGAGGTTGTACTGAACTATTAAGAATCCATGTATAATAAAGTGATAGATAAGTAGACTGATAAAAACAGAACATTCATCTAAGGAAAAGTATCTTCAAATTGTGTCTCAGATTGAAGGCTGCTTTCTTACAGACCGCCCCTTCTCGTTTTTTCCATTTGAAGGCCCAACACCTAATCTAGGTTTAGTATTGTAGAATTTATTCAGACATAGAGCCTCCCTGAGGTGACTTTAAGTTAACTAATAGTTACACATCACCCATGAGTTCAAAGGATGTTTACGTAGGAGGTCTGCTATGCTTGGAAGTTTGTGTCTCCAAAAATATCGTGTTAAATGAAGAAACCACAAGGTGATAGTATGAGGGTGTGTTCCTTCTGGGAGGTGGCTAGGTCTCAAGGCCCACAAGACTGAGAAGACCCTTACGTCAGAGATGGGTAGGGGGCATTTGGATTTTCTAGCACATGACTACAATCTCAAGAGCATCATCTATAAACATGAAAGTAGATCACGGAAAGTCACACAACTCCTTGAACTTGGACTTCTTAGCCTCTAAATCACTGAAAAATCATTCTTTTC